TTCATCATGTCTCCAAAATACAAGGAATAGGATTCAGGATCTCAGAATCCGTACCGAGTAAATTAAAAGACACAAATCCATAAATAGGAGTCTGTTAAGAACTTAGGATTAAGATCATTCTATATATGACCATCGGTAGACTCAATTATAATTTCTATACTTAACGGAATTATTAGAAATTCATATTGTGTCTGTGTCCTTGTTCCACATAATCTCATTATGCGAAATACACTCATTCAATATCTCGCTATATTAATAGTGCGGATAACACCGTTCCATTCTAAATGGGAATGACATGTATTAATAATGTTTTAATTAAAGATTCTAAACTTTAATTTAAATTCATTATGAACATTACTTTTTGATTATTATCCTTAAACATTATCCTCTTGTATATAACACTTATATACAATGTTTAAGGTTACATAAATAATCATGAAATTTTTATTGATATTCATAAAATATTCATAAATATATGCACATAAAATCATGAATAAACTCTTTTATTAAATAAATAATAAATATCCTATTACATCTCATGCTTCTAGGACACCATTCCGAACAAGTGCCCCTTGGGGTCGTCGTCTTAGGAAATTCCTTGGAATTTCGCTAAGCCTTCGTCTTTCCTCCTTGGAGGATCTGACGTCGATAGTGCCCCTTGGGGTCGTCGTCTTAGGAAATTTCTTGGAGTTTCGCTAAGCCTTCGTCTTTCCTCCTTAGAGGATCTGACGTCGATAGTGCCCCTTGGGGTCGTCGTCTTAGGAAATTCCTTGGAATTTCGCTAAGCCCCCTCCTTTTTTTTTTATTCAACCCGTGGATCCTTTCATGGATTTCGTGGAGGACTTTTTGTGCCTCGGTTTCATCCAAGCACCGCTGTAGAGGGGTTGAGTAGCCTCGTTGGTAGAGCAAACCGTCATACAATAAGTACCTAGCGGCTCTATACCTGATCCGTCTGGCTTCGTCCTTATCGTTTGGCAATTTTGCATCCATTAGGTATTGGATGAGGGGGGTCATCCAACTTCCATCTACTCGGACAATTAATGCCTCCACCTTTTCTTCTATAGTTGGTCGCTCCAATTCCTTGATGGGGACGACCCCTAGTGTGTCGAATTCTCTAGAAGATGCTAGCTTTGCCAGAGCGTCGGCGCTTGCATTCTCGGTTCGTGGTATCTGGAGTATCTCATAATTTTTAAACTTAACGAGTTCTTCCTTTACCTTTCTTAAGTACGCTCTCATATTCTCACCGCGCGCTTGGTATTCTTCCTTCACCTGCGCGACAACCAATTGAGAATTGCTGAAGACGCTGAGTCTTTCAATCTTTAGGTGGCTGGCAAACCGCAGTACGGCAATTAGTGCTTCATATTCCGCCTCGTTGTTTGATGCCTTGAATTTAAATCGGACCGCCAAGGTAATTTTGTGGCCTTCGGGGCTGATTAACAGGACGCCGGCTCCTGACTCGTTTTCACTTGACGCCCCATCCACGTAGAGTTTCCATTCTACAACATCGACTTCTCCAGGTGCGGTGGGAGTTGGCCTATGAGAGAACTCAACTAAGAAATCGGCGAGAGCTTGGCCCTTGATCGCAGTTCTTGGCACGTACTTTATGTCGAATTGGCTTAACTCTACCGACCATTTGAGGAGTCGACCGGAAGTTTCAGGCTTTTGTAGGGCCTGCCTCAGCGGGTGGCTTGTGAGAACCCGTATTGTGTGAGACTGGAAATAGTGCCGAAGCTTCCTTGAAGCTACCATCAGGGCGAGGGCCAGGCGCTCCATCTCGCTGTATCTTGACTCGGCGTCGAGAAGTCTTTTGCTCACGTAGTAGATTGGCAGCTGCACCCTCTCTTCTTCTCTTACTAACACGGAACTTACGGCATGTTGGGATACTGAGAGGTATAGGCTAAGCTCTTTGTCGATGTTCGGCTTCGACAGGATTGGGGGCTTGCCCAAATGTTCCTTTAATTTCTAGAAGGCCTCTTCACATTGGGGTGTCCATTCAAAGTGCTTGCTTCCCTTCAAAGCATCGAAGAAGGGGACGCATTTGTCGGTTGCTTTTGATATGAACCTATTTAAGGTGGCGACACATCCTGTCAATCTTTGCACTTCCTTTGGCTTTGTTGGGGACTGCATATCCTGTAGGGCCTTGATCTTCTCGGGGTTAGCTTCAATCCCCCGGTTACTGACCATAAAGCCGAGGAATTTTCCCGACCCAACTCCAAAGGCGCACTTTTGGGGATTGAGTTTCATGCGGTATTTTCTTAGCACACCAAACATTTCCCCCAGATGATCGACGTGATGATTGGCCCTGGTGCTTTTTACTAGCATATCATCAACATAAACCTCCATTGTTTTGCCGAGCTGTTGAGCAAACATTTTATTCACAAGCCTCTGGTAGGTAGCCCCTGCATTTTTTAGGCCGAAAGGCATCACTTTGTAGCAGTAAAGGCCCCTGTCGGTTATGAAGGATGTGTGCTCCTCGTCAGCTGGATGCATGGGGATTTGGTTGTATCCGGAGTAAGCGTCCATAAAGCTCAGCATCTCATGTCCCGCCGTGGCATCGACCATCTGGTCTATGCGAGGGAGTGGAAAGTCATCCTTTGGGCAGACTTTATTGAGATCACTGAAGTCGACGCATGTCCTCTAATTCCCGTTGGGCTTGATCACTAGAACGGGGTTTGATACCCAACGAGGATAATGGGACTCCCTTATGAACCCATTATTAATCAGCTTGTCAACCTCTTCTCTCAGCGCCTCATACCTCTCGGGGTTCATCGGCTGAAGTTTTTGTCGTTTGGGCGGATATGAGGGGTCGACGTTTAGGGAGTGACATATTACTTCGGCGTCGATTCCTTCCATGTCGGAATGATTCTAGGCGAAGACATCTAGGTTCTTCCTGAGGAAGTTTTCAATCTCATCTTTGAGTGATGGGGCTAGGCCTGAGCCCACTTTTAGCACTCTGGTGGACTCGCCTTCACCAACTCAGATTTCCACCAACTGCTCAACAGGTTGAGACCATGTGACTTCCTCCTGGATCCGGGGATCTATATCCTCGACAAGGCCTTAGTGAACCATCCTTGTCTCCTGTCTCCCCGGTTGGTCATATCTGCGCAGGGCGTCAGAGTATGCAACCCTAGCTTCATACTGGTTGCTCTTCATTTCCCCTACGCCATTTGGGGTGGGGAACTTGACCTTTTGGTGGTAGATGGAGGTTATTGCTCTTAACGCTTGGAGGGTTGGCCTCCCGATTACCGCGTTGTACTGGGAGCTTCCTTTTATGACCACGAAATTGGCCATTGTGGTTGCCTGTCGAGGTTTTTCACCGGCGGTTATGGGTAGGC